TATGATCTTGCATTGTTTTAAACTAAAGAAAAGTTGTTCATGTACAGACTACTGATCAAATGAAAATGAGGACATCCACATAATTAAAACACCGTGAAAATGTTAAAACTTGATCGAGAAAATTTTCTATGTGTTAATAAAGAAAACCTTTCAGGATACAGTAATAGAGAAAACAAGGTATTTAAGCATGTGTAGCATTCTTGTTTATGTTTATTTAAGAAGGTTGTGTGTATGCTCGTATGCATTTTTTTTGTGGGTGTATAATATTTGCATTAAAAAAGGTCTGGATAAATAAGAAACCATTGACGGTGGTTACCTCTGGCAAGTGGCTTTGGAGTTACCTTTGAAGAGATAAAAATTTTTGAACTGTTAACACTTTTTAAATCATGTGCTATCAGCTATTTTGTCATAAAAGTATAATATTACTTAATCAACAGAAATTTAAGACATTTAAAGTACATGTTTTATGAAACTATGTTATTAACATAGAGACAAAGATACGTGTGGGGCTAATATGCTTCAAATCTGTAAGCAATTATTAAGCTGTTGATGTCTTAATGGGAATATACAATTCCATGTGTCCTTGTGTAAGATAAATTGATCTCTTGGTCCCTGCAACTTGCCACCTTTCAATTTAATCCCTGGGTATTTCATTACTTGACATGCATATAATTGTTAAAAATCTCAAATCAGTATCTACAAATTTTGTTTGCTGGTTAGTGATGTTCTTAGGAGAATAAATGCGTAATTATTTTTCTTTTAGAATAAGAATGAACAGTTGTGTTCAAACTATTTTATTAAGCATAATATTTTGCATTACTAAAAAGATAAAGTGTATTGTTACATTCTTTTATAATAATATAAATTCCAAAAATTATCTAAGAACCCTTAGATGACACCAGTTGCTTCAATGTTTAGGGAAAAAAAAAATCTCTAAATCATATTAGAACATTAACGTAATAACATTTTTCCTATTTTAACTGTAGTAAGAGTATCCTTTCATAAGTCCATTTTTCCCTCAAATATGTTCCAAGACATTCTTGATATTATTTTTATTGATGTTATTTGTAGAATATTTTTATTGGGGAGATATGAAGAATTAAAATAATAAGCTATTCTTGGAAATAACTGAAAGGAACTTAATCTTTTATTTTCTCTTATGTATTCACTTTTCTTTACATACCTCTATCCATTTTATTATGTAGCTTCCAAAATGAGATTATTTTGAAGGAAATTAAGTTTTTTACATGCTATCCATTTCAAATAAAATAATCAATTAGTAGGGTACTTGTAAATGACAAAATTAGTGTCAAAATATTATTAAAAGTATTGTTCATATTAATAATTCTAGGCAATAAAAAACTGATTATCACTAAAAAACTAAACATGAGTGTGTAGTGTGTAAAATAAAAAAAAGCTTTACCTTATATAAAGCTTCAAATTGTGTTCTACACTGGAATTTGACACAATATTGTAAAATGACTATAACTCAATAAAAAAAAAAGCTTCACCAAAATGTAGCTCTAGTACCTTGTAAACCATTGTAAAGACTGGCTTCTAACTTGTTTTGGGAAGTCATTTGAAGGCTTCAGCAGATGAATGGTGTGATATGACAGGTTTTAGTGATTTGGCTGCTGTGTTGATGATGGCATAAACGTGGACAGATGTCCTGGTTATTCTAGGGATACAGGTGAGAGATGAGGATGGTCAGACCAGCATGTTTGAGGAATAGGTGGTGGAAGAGGCTGGGCTCTGAGAATATTTTAAAGTTCGAGCCTTCAGGTGCCTTGCATATGGAGTAGGAGAATAAGAGTGGAACCAAAACCGACTTCAAAATTTTTGTTTATATGAGTTTAAATCTAGATAAGGAGTTAGTTCTTATTTCTAGATTTGTGCATATGCTAGACAATGCAGTGGGTGCAGGAAGAAAATAGGGCCATTTAAAATATTGGGAAATAATAGAACTACTCCTTGGAAGATTGTGGCCAGCCTTCACAATTGTAGAATTCAGAGGCCAGAACTCAGATTTACTCAATACAGAAAGGTGGTCCAATAACCAAAAAGGCAAATCACTGTTTTTTCCATGTAGAGAGCCCAGTAAGAGAGGGCAGCAATTTCTTAAAAAAAAAAAAATGCTCTGGAAGAGATTCATATTTTAGGAAATTATGACAAAAAAGAAGTCAGGGGATGATTAATTATCAACACTTCATATCTACACATGACATGCACACACGTACCCAAAGACCAAGGCGACTTGGCTGACTTCACACTGCTAAAGAAAATTAGTTGCAAGTATAATAGGACAGAATCAGGATTATTTAGCATCTTTATATCTAAAATTAGATAATGGCAAGTGTAATACAGTAGAATCAGGATTATTTAGCATCTTTCCCTCTAAAAGTAGATATTGCTCTTGGGAAGATTGTAATCAACCATCATTTTGCTTCTGCTGCCTTCAGTCATTATTTTGAACTGCCACCTATCTAACTTTGAGCTTGCATATCAAACTTTGTATAACGTTTCTAGTCATCAATCTATCATAGTTTACTCTTTGGTAGCATTTGATTTGATTTTACAATAAGTATTAGGATAGAAGGTGAAGTCAAGTAGAAACAAATTAATCAGTATAGGGGTGGCACATTTATTGATGTGAATTTTCTGATATTCTAGAAAAAGTGCCATTAGGAATTTTAGTAATTTGAGGAGAAAATTATGCCACCTCTTACTGAGAAAGAATTATTAAACAAACATCTGAGTTAGCTTGCAGAACATAATTTTCTTAAGTGAAGTGATTTACACCTACTACATCTACCACTAATTTGAATTAAAGGTAATATGCCCAAGCTATTAATTATAGGATTTATTTATGATTATGCATACCTTTTAACCTGTATCACCATGGTGACCAATAGTCGTTAAATTATGTGCCAAGATTAGATAAATTATTGCACAAATGCAAATCAACTAAACAAGAATTGCAAGTTATTGAAGTGACACTGTGAAATGACAAGTTGATTATTTACCTGTTAGTTCTACCAGATCTAATATTTATTCTAATCCCGAAGTCCTCCACCTGTATGTCTACATACTACATACTACACACTGTTTTAGGTGCTATGATAATTGTTTGTGTCTATGACAAGTACATAAGAATTCTTCATATTTTATCTTTATCAAACCACATTTCTTTAATTTCAACTTGATTTGCACAATCTTGAAAAGTTATTCTATGTAAATTATTCCATAATTTTTTACCTGAACCATTGACTTTTGGGATCTGTCCATCCTTTAGTTCCTTCTCACTCCCTCAAAGGGTTGTTCTAAGAATAAAATTCAAAGGGAGAGGATTTTGCAAAGTACTTATAACTTAGAAAGAAATATATTAAAATGTAATATGATACTGTCATCTTAAATATAGAGATTAATTGCTGATAACCCCAGAATCTCAATTTTAGCAAAGGACTCTGGCATGCTCAGGTAGAGAGGGTTTTACTTTAAAATACATATTCTCCTTTCATTAAAAAAGGTCTAAGGATCTTGGTTGCACTTGTTCGTCAAACCTACTGAAGAAGTTTTTATTTTGTTTTATTTTATTTTGTTTTAATTTGGAAGGGTAAAGTAGTTCCTCATCCAGTGCTTATTCTCCTGTGCTTATTCTCCCTATGATGCAGGGGCCCTTCTAAGAATGTGCTGTAGTTAAATATGGGTTGAACGCTCTTGCGGTGGCTGGCTATGATGGGGGAGCAGCTGGCCGGACACTCATTATGACACAAGGACAGGTGTAAGAGCTTGTGTAGTGTGATACCCAGGACCCAGAAATTCAGTGAGTGTCCAAAATTCTCAGGAGAAAAAGTGAGAGCAGTTGAAATGTTTTTCTTGGTTTGTTATAATTGTTTTTATATATTTACATGTTGTGACAAAATGTCCCAAGTGTCAGCATGGTCAGCTATTACATTTATATGTAGGTAGTGCTTGTGAATCATCTGATAGGCCCATGTCAGATACTGAATTCATGAAAAATAATGAATTTGACCCTAGCTTTCACAACTTCCTTGCCTTCTTACGGAGGCAGTATATCATTTCTGTAAGAAATACAATTTTATTCCCTAAAGTATTTGCATACATTATTTTTCTCATTTGTTCCTCACAATACTGTTTTGATTTTTCCGGCTAAAATGAGACACCCAGAGAGAGGGTCAGAACTATGTTATTCAGGTTAAGATAATCCATGGAATAGATTCCACATGTCTTATAAAAAAAAGGCAGCCATACTGGCAGAACAAGTGAACAAATGCTTGAGTCTTATAACAAAAGGCAGCCATACTGGCAGAACAAGGGAACAAATGCTTGAAGTCAGAAATGTTCAGGGGGGTTAGGAACTCACTAGGTGACTCAGAGAATGACTGGAGAAGCTGTGAACAAGTAGCAAAGATTTGGACAGTGTGAAGACCTGCCCAAGGAGGTTAAAGGCCCCTGAAAAAAATCCCAAATTCATTTTTTGAGTGTTTCAAAGGACTGCATAAAATTAAAATATGCTCCCCAAAGTATTATGTATCATTTAGAGCCTGGATAACACTTTGTGCAAACATTGTGACAGATTGAGAGATACATCTGAGGCTGATTTAGAGTTCCGGGGCAGTGCATGCTAATTTTTATTTCGCAAGCACAGACTCTGCATCTTATTTATTTATTTATCATCTTTCTGGAAGATGGCTCAGGGAGAAGCAAGTGCAAAAACCAAATCTCAGTAAGTTCAAGGGGGAATGGGTTTTTACAGAAAAAAATCATATGGCAAGGATACCAGTGGGTGGGTAAGGTGGACAATAGGAGGAAGTGTTTTCTGTTTAAGATGGAAGATCCTCGAACAAGTTCACATGCGGAACAGAGGGCTGTTTGAGATGGAGAAGGTGTAGACAAGGGATGATTGGTGGAAAAAGGTCAAGTGTAATTAGGAAAGAATGGGAGCAATTCTAGAGCAAAGGTATATATTAGATGAAAGAGTCCTCTTCCGCTGAGAAAAGAGTGAGAATAGTGAGAAGGTTGGCCAAACAATTCCAGAATGATGGTTATGTCAGCAGCAGCAGTGGCCACGGTGGTGGAGGGGAGACTGGGAGGAGGGATCATGGGTCAGGGCAGACTGGGAATTGTAGCATCACTGCATTGGCATCATATTTCTGGAAAGAAAGAAGCAAAATCTTTTGGTTACAATGTTGAGAAGGAAGACGGCATAAGGAGGCATGAAGAGAATGTAAAAGTTTGAAATAACTGTTTAGAAAAATAGTATTTTTAGATATATTAAGAAAAGAACCCATGGCCCATACAATTGTCAGGGATCACTGTGGAGCCAATCAGTTCAGGAAAGCATGACTTTGTAGTTAAATCTATCAGCAAGGCCAGTCCCAGCATGATCTGACTCCTGGCTACCCTAGCAAATGATCTCTTTGCCACTGCACTGTTGGGCTTCTGTGCCCTCGTCGCATTGAATTTCCTTGTAGTTTTCCAAATGAGCAGTTCTGTCTCCTGCTGCTGTTGTTGCACATGTTGCCATTTTGCTCCTTCTGTTTCAAATTTTGTTTTCACCCTGTTTTATCTGGTTAGTTCTTACCTTTCAAGATACTGCCCCAGCAACATTCTCTCCAGGAAGCGCTGTCAGTAGGGTTGCCAGGTAAGATCCCCAGTTAAATTTGAATATTTGGGATATATTTACAGTAAAAATATTTTTTGTTGTTTATCTGAAACTCAAATATTATTGGATGATCTGTATTTGTATTTGCTAAACTTGACAACCCTAGCTGTCAGTCCTAGATAGACTAGGTTAGTTGTTTTTATGCTCCATGTTAGCACCCACTACGGTAGTCTATGTTACACTGCCTACTTCTATCTCTTGACTGGCTGTCTCTCCTATTATATTATCAAGCTTCTTGAGACTAGGGACCACATCTTGGTGGACTCATCACATACGCAATGCCTGACACATCATAGGCTGACTCATCACAGGCTCGTCATGTTAAGTAGTTTAGTGCCTTCATTGGAGAAATTTAAGCTGGCTGCCTTAGGGCTGTGGAACTGACTGAAAAGTAGCCAGGGTCCAGTTTGACCATACCTTTAGTTATTGATTTTGGGGACTGAGACTGCCTTACTCTTTGTGGGTAAATTTGAGAGTGGGAGGTACATGGCACCTCTGAAGAATCATCAGTCCTCTATAGCCCTGTGGTCCCTCTGGAGTTGTCAAGCACTTATAATCAGAAGAACACTTCTTTTTCCTGAAATTGATCCAAATACGATTTTATTTTCTTGTTAAATTTCTTTTGGAATTCCCCACTATGGCTTTCAGATCAATCTAAATGCTATTCTGTGAGTTTCATGGCTCTTCATCTCAACCTTTCTTGTCACCCACCATGCATATGTTTTTCCTACATGCCCTGGCTTCCCATCAGACTATTACTTCTTCCTCAAAATGCAATGAAACATCACATCTCAGCAACTTCATGCCATATATCAGCTTTCCTCTTGGCTTCAGAAATCCGACCCCAAACTACAACTCAAATAAAAAGTCTTACATTCTGTGTTGCCTATGCACAATGTCCTTCTTCTGAACTCAGGGTTAACTATTCTCTGGGAATTTCTTGAGACATCACCTGTGTGAGAATGAAGTAGGTACACACCAACCTTTCCTAGTACATCATGAAATATCTGGGGACAAAGATGTGATCTGACCTGTTCATGTGGCAGACATTCAGTAACTGTTTTACCCAGTGAATTGTACAATCAAGGATTTAGGGCTAGAACTTATAATGCAAACTTTGTTGCCTTTGGAGATGACCTTTGAAGGGAAAATTTTGGTTCCTTAATTTCTTGACAGAATTGTGGTCACAACAGCTAGTATAAAATCATAGACTAAACAAAAATACTAATCATAGGAATGGATGGAAGAGTAGCAGTTGCTATGATATTATTTATCATATAGTTAAATGGTTCTTTGGACCTTCCCCAATATTCTCTGACCTACCACATCCTTTTTAAGCTCAATGGAACAGCAACCTTTAGCTTCTGAATCACTTCTATTTTTTTTCAATATAAAGATTGTTGCAGCAGATTTCAAAGATCGAGTTTTATGAACTCTGGTAGCCCCCAAGGGCATTTTAATATATTTTATGATAATATGGAAATGCCATACATTTTTTAAAGCAATATTATTCAGAGTTTAGTGAAAGTACAACTGACTTGTGCTATTATTTTTGTATTATGATTAATGTAATTGGTCTCTGCTCTTTGATCAATATGAATTTCTGTAACATGGAAAAAGGTAATATTTTTGTCCAGTACTCCTCAATCAAGGTATTGTTAGTCTTCTAAAAAGTATTTATTAAATTACTATCAACTGCATTTTAGCGTTTAAACGCTTAGGATCCATTGTTAGTGAAAAGATAACAAAACATATTGCCTTTCTTATGAAGTTTCTGTTTCAACAGAGAGGCATAGAGGATTAAGAGTAGTGGGAGCAGGGGTGCTGGGAAGCTTTGGGAGAAGGCAGTTTGTAGTAGTAAACCAGATGGTCAGGGACGGCCTCAGTGAAACGTAAAATCTGAGCCAAGACTTGAATAAGGAATAATGGCAGATGTTGGTGGCAAATTCTGTATACATTCATCCAAATTTAGAACATCCTGATATAATATATGTTGCATACTCTCCAGTCAAGATTGCTATATTCACAATGTAGTCCGGCTTCTCATAAATATGAAAATCAGTTGTGTTGTATGGTTTAAAAACAGCAAAAGTCAAATCAGTATTTCCAATTCAAGACCTGCACTTCTCCTCCATCACTCAGCTAGTGGAATCTGACTGTGACTTTATTTAATCCAGGCTTCTAAGATTAATTCACTCACATAGTTTGCATGTCAATCTTGCATTTTTAAGAACTTGACCTGAGTATGTTAATCTGATTTTATTTACCTATCTAGGCACATATGAAAGAAGTAATTTCACCAAGTTTTCATTGCATTTTCTTCAAACCTTGATACATGTAATACACTTTTACAATAATAATATTATTGGATCATTTTGAAACTATTAAAAATGTTTAAGTACTAGAACTTGGAAAAAGAACTCACGTTATTTTGCCGATTTTCTCAGGAGGGATTTTAAAAATTGGAAAAAAAGCCCAGGTGTATGCACATGTATCTTTAAGAAGTCATTTATGACAATAGATTTTCATGTTCGTGATACTTGCATTAGGGCAAAGCTCTGATAGAATAAGCCTTTTAGTTTTGAAATGGCCTAGATATATCAAAAATAGTGATGGGTCCACCATACATTGCTGTAACCAAAAGAAAATGTAGAGCTGATTCTGCACCATTTCCATCATCTCACCAACCTTTTAAATGTACAGTGGTGTTCTCAAAAATGTATTTGATATTGAACAAGAAATATTTTTAAGAAAGCCTGAGTGTGTCACCAGATACAACTTCTGTTCTTCCTGTATGAACTCACCAAGTACAGAGCATGGCAAAAAATACATCATCATCATTTTCAATTTATTAATATCTACTGATAATTACTTACTAGATTTTCAACTTGAGTGTATTAATCAGAAACATTTTTAGTTCCCCAAATCATTATTAAATACACTGTGGTAATATTGTTAACGTAGTGACACTACTGTTTCAACTTATTTTGGCATTAGGTAGAGGAATGTTCAAAGTTTTGATATATTATTTACAATTAGACAGTTTGAGAAAGTAAGGAACAACTACTGCTAGAGGGGATGCAAAATCCCTAATGAGTTACAGGTAATACTAATGGAAATGTAGAGGAGATATTCATTAAAAGTAGACAATAGAGATTGAATTTGGACAACTAGTATAATTGTGAATATCTGCTCTACCAGCTAAAATAGATGATTTGTTTGGTTACTATTATTTATCTTAATTTTTGAAGATATATATGAATTATTTCTCCATTTTAAAAACTCATAAAGATTTTTATTTTATATGTATACATATAATTTTATATATGTATATTCCTATCCTATATTATTTCTTATAATGATATTCCTTTTTAACTCCTAAAATATTTCAGTAAAATTGCACATGAAAGATTTTGATGAGAAATTATTCTCCTGCAGGGAGGTAAGTCTACTGTCTGTAGTTAGGCTAAGCTATGTAAGCACAGTAAGATAATTACTTTTTCATGGTTTATTTGTTAGTACTTCATTTTATTTTTTAACAGTTTTTTGGTATTCATTCTATTGAATGGCTTAAAAACTTACCCTGAAATATGTCATAAATGATAGAGAATGAATGATTCCCACTTAAAGGATAGAGATATAGCTGTAGCAACAGTAATTGATGGTGTATAAGTCTGAGTGATGTATCTTTTTTTTAACATCACATGTAATAGTTATCGGAAAAATAGTTCTTTATCCCTGGGCTGTTGGTTAGAAAACAAGGTTTTGGCAATAGAATAGATTTGAATATGGCTCCAATTCTTCTAGCTTGGTAAAATTTGGTAAGTTATCTAATTTTAATGGCCTGTTGTTTGCTCATCTGTGAAATGGAGATAATTAGATAATACAAATCTTGAGACTTTTTTGAGGATTAAAAGTGTAAGCACTTATAATATTAATCAATATGTAATAGCTGTGCTTCCTCCTGTTGCAAAACCCATGAAGAAGGATAATTTCCAAATCTGTTTCTGAACACGTGGAGTTACCACTGCTGACTCTATCTGCCTGTGTTTCTTCTGTTACTTCTGTTACTTGGAAATACTTGATCTTGTCCTTTGGTATACTCCCTAGTATGCAGAGCTAAGAAGCATAACACTATCATCTTTTCCCCATTTTCTTCTTTTCTAACACTGAAATTTTTTTCTACATATGTGAATAAATTTCCTTTCAACTCTTCTTCAGAGAAAAAGAGGTAATAGCTTTTATAAAAAAAATTACAAATTAATCCTTAGTCTAAAGCACTATTGAATGACTGGCTTCGTTAAACCATAAGCATTTCCCTACTGCAAAAGTTGTTGGGAACTTATAAAATGGAAATTCTTTGTAATGATTCAAATAAGGTGAAAACAGTTTTATTGCTTAATGAGCAATAAGACTAAAAATTCACTTTGTTATTGATGTCTCTACTTTCATCATTTTTGTTGTAGTAATCCCTCCCAAAATTTTTATTGTACATCCGAAAGAAAAAGGAGACAAATCAGGAAACTGGAGGAGAGAAGGGGAGAGGAAAAGAACATGGTTTTCATTCAGGGTTTAACAGTAGTGATAGTCATTTGCCTAAGTAGAAAGAACTGGAAATAAAGTGTGCTTAAGAGATATTCACAAGGCAGAAAAACATCACTTATTTGAAGTAAACAGATTCTTTTAGAGCCTGTATTGAAGTACAAACCAATCAACTGCTTTCGAATATTTTCTTAGAACATTTTTTTTCCATCAACAAATGTAGTAAGTGATAACATAAGGATGCTAAGCAGAAAACTAGCATATCTGAGTGAAATCTCTCAGGAAGTGAGGGCATATGTGTGGGTAATGAGTTTACCAGAACTGGGTTTGGCCACGACTCCAAAGGCCAGGCTTCCAGTTGCCAAACTGCCACCTGTGCCCTACATACCACAGGTGTTCAGGCCTTCAGAGCAGCTCCTCTTCCTAATGATTTCTGGGCCAGTAGCTCCCACACACCCAGCATGGTCTCCTCACTGAATCGATACTCACTTCTGCACCAAACATTGACTTTCACCTTGACTTTGAACATTTTCTAATCTCTTTTTTTAAAGTTCTAACATAGTAAAAGTGTAAGCTTTCTATCAGTTAGGAATAGGTTCAGCTCTTCTTATTAGAGACCCAAAATAGCACGAGAGGCCAGGGGAGACATGGCAGCTCCGTGCCCCAGCTCAGGGACCCAGACCAGTTCTCTCTCATTCCTCCAACCTAGCCTGAGGTGTCCATTATTAAGTTTACATTACAATCACAATAAGACTGCTGGAGCCCTCACCTTCTTGTCCTTCTTGTGAAGGGAAGAAGGGGAAGGTCAAGATGTGAGCTTCCTCTGAGTCACTTCCCTTCCTTTCTGAAAGAGCTTTCCTGGAAGCCCCGATGAAGTACTTCTGTTTATATTTTATTGCCTGCTTCTATCTATGAGGGAGCCTGAAAAATATACTTTATAACTAAAAACACTTCTGACACTATCAAAATGAAGTTACTTTGAGGAAGAAAGGGTGAAGGGCTCTTGGATAGGCAACCAAGGGTTTCTACCATACCTTTTTCTTTTTCTTCTTTTTAAATTGAAATGTAGTTGATTTACAATATTGTATTAGTTCCGGGTGTACAGCAAAGCAATTCAGTTATATATATATATATATATATATATATATATATATATATATATATATATATGTATTTTTCAGACTATTTTCCATTATAGATTATTTTAAGATATTAAATATAGTTCCCTGTGCTATACAGTATATTTTTGTTGCTTATCTATTGTATGTATAGTAGTTTGTATCTGCTAATCCAAACTCCTAATTTATCCCCCCTCCCTCCTTTCCCCTTTGGTAACCATAGATTTGTTTTATGTGTCTGTGAGTAAATTTCTATTTTGCATATAGGTTCATTTGTTTATGTTTAAACTAGATCAAGTATCTAAAAATGCTTCCAGAAATAAATAGAGCTAGTAGCTTCTATATAGCTGTGCCTTATCTTAGGGACAATATACGTATACCAATGACATTCAAAGTTCAGTTTGCATGAGAACATAATAGGGGTTTGTATAAAATACAGCTTCCAGAGGTTCTGGCCCACAGGGCTAGTGAGGCTCAGAAATCTCTTTGAGGTCCCCAAACCATCTTAGAGTTATTGACAGCCCCTGGCTATGTTGCTGTGGACAGTCTTCTTTTTGAATTTTTTCAACCGTATTAAGTCCAGAATTTCTATTAGAGCTTAAGGGTAGGGATCTTTTTAAGGGGGAGAGGGGATGTACAGAGTGTTGGCAGCTGCAGAGGCAAAGCCTTTTACATAAAATTGAGACAGGCCTCTATATGAGAGAAGTGGGCAGACACGATTTGTGGGTGGGGAGCATGAAGCCCCTTTCCCTGCTGTTTGGGGCTGTCGCTATTTGTGAACCTACTTACCTTCTAATTCCAGACTTTGCAACACATGGAAGATCAGCAAATCACTGAAATGCTTCAAACTCAGCCTTTGTCTTTTTTTTCATCTTTGCCAGGTTCTTGATGCTAGTGGAGTCAGAATTTAATTTATCAGATGAATGTTAGCAAAGCAAGAAGTAGCCAATCGGCCAGTTGAAAGGAGAATGAAAACAATAAGCCTAATCAAGATCACTTATTGGGTGCCTATCAAATGCTTATCTTCAGTGCTTTGTTTTTTTGTTGTTTGTTTGTTTGTTTGTTTGTCTGAGGATTTCAGTTAATCCTCAGTTACAGTCCTTCAAAGTAGATATTTTATCCATTAAAAAATGAGGAAACAGAGACCCTGAGAGTAAACTAAAAATTCAAACTTACAGTTGGTAACAGATAAAGACAGATTCATACCTGGATGAATGAATGAACTTCAAAGCCATGTTCCTTTGACTCTGCCTTACTGCTTCTTCAATGGGAGAAGGAGGGAGACCAAAACCCCGAAGTCTGATAATCCTCCTCTCCC